CCACCTTTTCTTTTCTTTCTGATTTAATAAATTGCCATCTTGTTCATGGTTAGAAATAAAGTTTTGTGAATAAAGTTTATGAAAATTGTGCCAAATTTCTTATGAGAAATCAATCCAACATGCGATTCGCATGTTAAAAACAAATCTCATAGCTTGTTTGGAAGAGATTTTTCAAGTGAAAACTGATTTTTTTTGGAGACCGAGTAGTTTAAAAGTAGGAAAAAGTTATGAGTCCTATATAATGTGCAGTTGAAAATGATTTCACGGAAAAATTATTTTCCAAAAATATCTCCCAAACAAGCTCTTAATTCTATTAACATTTTAAACTTTTACTGAGGTGACTCAACATAATGAAACATTTAAAGATTTAAAAATTCAAAGCCAAAGACAAATGGTGGTGAAAGAGTAGTGAACAAATTTTCCACCTCCCTGACCCCTGGATGTGTAGCCATCCCTAGAGCTAGACTAAAAGAAAAGAAAACTTTTTTAGGGCCTTCAAGAGGTGTTGAAGAGGTTATGAGAGTATTTCCAAGTGAAGCATGGGAATTGAACTGAAAATCAAATTTTATTTTCACTCTACCTGTGTTCGTATGTAGACGATATTGACATGGTAATGGTATAATCTTGTCACATCTATTATGACTCAAGACATTTTGTTGGAGTTTCTCCTTATAATAAGCAACGTATAGCGAAAAGTTGATGAGGTTCACTAGGGCATACATGAGAAACACATTGCATTATTGCTCGTGTACGAAGAAGGTACCATACTCTAATCAGACTTTTGGGATGGTTCAACTTTTGGCTCTCTTGTGGTTCTTAATTAGGCTTAAGATCTTTAATTAGCTCATAATTTAAAAGTGCAACTGCTCAAAACTAGTGACTTATACTTACCCAGTAAGTCACGGGTTGACTGGGTCCTGTTTTAAATTATTGGGACTTGGATTATAAAGGTTAATTGGATCCTCTGGGCAGCATCATCATATTAGTGGTAGTGTGGTATTTTACATGATTAGACTCACGAGTCACAACAGAACTTTGAAAATTAAGCAACTAGTTCAACAAATGGTGGGATAGCTACTCAAGACTCTCTAGGGACACGTGCTTCCATACAGAGAGGGAAGGCTATCACACAGACATAATCAATCTCCGTGAGTTCATTTCGGGTTATTGACCATTTAGCTCATGTGGTTTTCAATTATGCTAGGATCTTCTTTAAATAGCTCATAGTATTAAAAATGTAGTTTCAGTTCAGATGGATTGGCTCAAAACTAGTGACTTAAACCCAGTAAGTTATGAGTTAACTGGATCCTGGTTTAAATCATTGGAACTTGGATTATGAAGGTCCATTAAATCCCGTGGGTAGCACTATTACCAAGATAGTAAGCCATATCATAAACAAAAAAATGTCAAAAAATTATTAAAATGCAAAATAAGCTAAAATAAATCATAAACAATCTTCAAAATTTTTAATATAACAATTTAAAGTGTGTAAACAAACAAAAGAAAAATCTATAAGGTAAAAAAATATTATTTAGTTGGTGGGGGGCAATGGACTATTCCTAAAATAGGTCTATGGGAAACATAATTTTTTAATGTTTCAGTAGCAATGGGCTATAAACAAAATGAGTCAATAAGAATTTTTATGTTTTGTTGCCACTTACAAGAAAATTAAATAAGTATAGAGAACTATCGCTCGAGAAATAAGCAAGCTGGTCAACTAAGGAGCAAATGCCTCACAAACCATGAGGTAGTACGTATGTGCCTCGCACAAATGAGGTGTATGCATCCAAAAATGCTTCACAATGAGTGACTTAGGTGTTTTTGAGAAGGAAAGAAATTTAAGACTCTCTAGGGACGTGTGCTTTCATACAGAGAGGGCAGGCTATCATATAAACATAATCAATCTTTGTGAGTTCGCTTCCAGTCTAAACTTATTGGGATTGTTGAACTTTTGGCCCTCATGTGGTTTTTAATTAGGCTTATGATCTTCTTTAAATAGCTCATAGTTTTAAAAACGTAGTTTCAAAACTAGTGGATTGGCCTAAAACTAGTGAATTAAACCCAGCAAGTCATGAGTTGACTGGATCCTAGTTTAAATCATTGGAACTTGAATTATGAAGGTCCATTGAATCCTGGAGGTAGCACCATCACTAAGGGTACTATGGTGTTTTTCATGACCAGAATAACAACAAAATTTGAAGACTAGGGCAACTAGAGCAACACATGGTGGGAAGCTATTGAAGACTATAGGGATGCTTCCGTACAGAGGACTGTGGAGGCTATCACACAGACAATCAATTTGTACGAGTCCTCATTAAAGCATTTTTCACAATGAGTGACTTAGGTGTTTTTGAGAAGGAAATAAATTTAAGACTCTCTGGGGACGTGTGGAGGCTATCATAGACAATCAATTTGTACGAGCCCTCATTAAAGCAACATAAATTTTTAGGAAACATAACTAAAATAGGTCTATAAGAAACATAACTTTTTAGGAGCAGATACAGTCGGGAAGAAAATCGAACCGAATCGAACCGAACCAAATACCAATAGGAATTATAGAAATGGAAACATTAGTTCAATATCCAACTAATGAATCAAATCAAAACTGAACCAATCGGTTCCGATTCAGTACGGTCCAGTACGGTCCAATTTTTTATATTGAAAAAATTATAAAAACAAAGTATGAAACTACTTGTTAGACTGAAAATAGACAAAATTAATTAAATACATAAAGTATAAAACAACTTGTCAATCTTGTAATCTAATACATAAAAATCACTTAAACAAGAAAACGAAGAAAAATTCACTTCAAAGGTCAAGATAAAAAAGGATAAACTATTAAACACGACATAAACAATAAAATCTCAATCGAAAATTGATTTTTAAGAAAATAGATATAACAAGTAAAGTACATGTAGTACTTGTAACCTGATTATTTTTAGTAATCCTCACGGATCTTAATTTTGATGAGCGGCTACTCTGGACACAATAAGAAATTTGAAATCTTATGAAATATTGAACTTAAAATATATTTTTTCCTATTGGGTTGCATTAAAGTTATGAATTTGTAAAGTATTTATAAAATTATTTAGACTAGAATTTCGATTACCCGTTTGTTGTGCTGCAAAGGAAATAAGAAACGTATGCAAAATGAAATTTTGACGTTAAATAATTTTCGGGATCAGTGTTCAAAGATTTAATTCATCTTGGTGCAAGCAAAAAGAGAAATTTGGGAAAACCGAATTTAATACTGTTTCTTAAGGCAGTACCAAGAATCTAACCGTAATCGACTAATTCTCGATGCATGATCCCAAAATTGACACACTTAGTAGAGAAACCAGAGTCGAATTAGCCAATTCTATGTGATTTCGATCTGTTTCCACTAGTTCCGGCCCTCCAGGTAAAAATACCCTATAATTTTTAATGTTTTAGAGGTAGTGTGTAGCGATCGAAAAAAAAAAAAAAAACTAAAAATCTTGTGTTTTGTTTTAAAAGAATTTTTTTTATAAATCGAAAAATAATTTAGAATATATTATTTCGTCGCTATGACACTTCCTAAGAGTTCAAATTAAAGTTTTGGGTAACGATAGTAAAGTTTGCATACTTTTTTTTTTTAATTTTTGTAAGGCATCGAATTTCTTTTGAACGACAAATTTTATTTTGATTTGATTACGTTATTTGTGCCGACACACTTATTATTAATTGTTGCCTATGTTAAGTGCATAAAGTTTAAAAATTAAATACACCAAGTATGTTCATCAAGTGTGTTCATGAAATCTCATGGATTTTTTTTTTTCATTTTACGTTATTTCACTTATTGAGATTATCATCTCACGTGAAATATGAAAATTTATTTTATAGGTAATAATTAATCAGTGATTGGAGATGGACGAAAATTGGGTGAGCACGCATCAGTGGTTGACGATTTAAATAATGTTATGGATTTAAGGATGTGATTGGATTTGATAATCACATCGTTTTAGTTTTGAAAATCTTATGTTTTATACATTCTGTTCTTGGTTCTCTCTTAATTTTATGAAAGCTTTTATGTTTACAATAAATTGTTTTAAGTTCAAGATTCGATGCGTTTCACCTTTGGCCCCTTTCCACCCTAAATTTGGTTATGTAACTAAACAAGTTTTCATAATTCATTAACTGGCCCATGATTCATATGTTTTAACCAATTATTTCTTTGTCACCTGTTGTCACTGGACCCACTACTCCTTTATAATTACAACACCAAAAACCACCCTTCAACACCACAAATCCCAATTCTCTCCTGCCTAATTCAATTTCTGTTCCTACTCCAACTTGCAAATTTCAAAAATTAAATGGCGCAAATTAGTATTGCAAAGTCCTTCCTGCTAGCTTAGTTTCTTTAAAGACGTACTTTGTTTCCGGAATATTGCAGAACTAAATTACAAAAGCTATCATATGCATTCATATATATCTTTGGTGTTCAGTTAGTAGAGGATAGGGATGGCAACGGGGAAGGGCGGGGGTGGGGGGGTGAGGCGGGGAAATTCCCAACCCCGTTACCCGTTTAAGGTGGGG